TGAGATAATGAAATGACACCACCACAAAGGATTTCTAAAAAAAAAAATCATTTGATTAACCTCACAACGTTCGGGATTGTTTCTTCAGATAGTGCCTGAATCGGTTTGCAACGGTACTCCTATGAAACGTTTTTTTCTTTTCGTTTATGCAAGCATAATTGTTGGATAGTTTTTTCCGCTTTTCCAGAAACAGTTGAACGAGAGCAAGGAGAGCATGAGCACCAAGGTAAGAGGATGTTTTATAAAATACTAATATTAACAACCTTATCAATAAATTACTGATAGCTTACGGAGTTTTTTATTTTATATATATAATAACACCTTTAAAAAAAAAAAAAACACCTTTTAGAAACAATATAATACATATATATATATATATATATATATATATATATATATATATAAACACACACACAATGCATTATGCCTTAATCCGATATATTATTTCTAAAAGGTGTTTTTTTGTCGGTACGCCATAAATTCGTCAATTCTTCATCAAATCTAATGATTGACCACTCATTTTGTAGATTAGAAAGGTGTATAATTTAAACAATTTGTATTGACGGAAGGAGTAAAGTGTGTTGAAATATTTTTTTTTAAGGAGAAACAGAGTTGAGATTTGTATTGTGCATTTCCAAAGACTCTCGAATACGAATTTTCATTGCGATCGAAAAATAAATTGTGCCCATGATAAAAGGAAGATTATTATTTTACCTACAAAACAAAAACAAATAAAAAATCGGACAATTATTAACAAAGACACAGTCCATTAGTTTTGGTATACTTTAAATTGGTCTTCCGATTTAAAGATATTGCATTTAGGAATAGAATAGTCAACTACATTTTTTCTCCTGGTTGATATATTATTTCTTATTTACTTTATTATTTCTTAAAGGCATTTGGTTGTTCTTTCATATTATTATTTTTTTTAATAATTTAGAATATTCCATGATCGGGGTATTATTTTGTCTATATTACAGTCAGCGTTTAAAAATATCTTCAATTATTTCTATGATGTTTAATGGAATATTGTAATCGACCAAGAAAAAAGTATTAATTCCTTTCTTATATAACAAATAGGAAATACTTATTTCCAGTTTGCTTTGCTATTTCTTCACTAAACAAATTTGTCTGCGATTTTTTCGCCCGGCCCGACTAGTTTATGGGAATTGTTTTCTTATATCCCTATTATTATTATGCAATAAATGTATTATTTGAAATGCCGTCGTACTTAAAGTATAATAACGCTCATCGTTTTTCTCTCTTGTTATAAGTATTTGATTATTTCTGATTTAGAATATTGAAGAACACTATGAATTATTGTCTAAGTTTTAATAAGATAAAGAATTGTCATCTAAGGTATATGACAATCGTATGTATGCTATACGGTAAGTCATATAATAGTCCAGTGAAATAATTTTCCTTTTTTCCATAATTATTTAGTTTTAAACCTACACACACACACACACACGCGCGCAAAAAAAAAAAAAAATTATGTACCTTTATGAAATCCGTGTATTCAATTGAATAACTAAGGTTTTCGACCTTCTCACTTTATACAAGTCACATGGGCTCCTAGCATGTTTTGATTCATTATTTTCAATAATGAACCATTGTAATCGAACGAAAAATTCTTAACTCCCTCTCAAAACGTAGAATTCGAAAAACGAATAAAAATTTGTTTGTCCGTCCGCGGTCCGCGCATTTTCTCCGAAACTACTGGACCGATTTTTTATTATTTTTTATATATACACAGTATATATATATATATATATATATATATATATATATATATATATATATATATATATTATAATATACACATATATATACATATATAAATATACTTTTAAATCCTAAAATCGGTATTATTGGAGCTTACTTGTTGAGATTAGTATTATTGAAACAAGACAAACGTAATTAAAGATTAATATTTGGAAACAAATTAATCTTTTAATTAATTATTATGTTTCAGACGCGTTTACTATCACTAAGAATAATCCTGTATGATAAGCACACTTGAAATAGAGTAATTAAATGTTTATAATTTTTTAGTAATAAGCGCTTAATAAAAGTTTTGCCCTCAGTGTTGCCAGTTTTAATTTCCATTAAGCAGATCCTGGCCTCTGAGCGTTAATATTAATTTCATTTTAGACTCAATAACAAATTTCGAAAAAACAATTCTTCCCTAAAAAGATTCTTTACCGATTGAATAAGTAAGTCCTTTTGTTTGAACCAACGCTATGTATTTTCGAAATTTATGACGAGTGAGAATAACAGCTGTTGATGTTAAATAAGTTAAAAGGTTAGTTTAGGTTTGTCTTACAAAAAAGTGTTAATTAAGAGTAAATACTTAATGTTTGTATAATAAAAGTGCTTTATCAAGACAAGATCGCTAAAGACAAAACAACAAACAAAGATTGAGCGTATTTCACAGCCAAGAATGGTTGAATCATCTTTATAAGTAATATGGACTTTAAAAATAGTGATATAGACAACGACGTCGACTCCTGGGAAGTGGTTATTGGTGGTAAAAGACCTATGGCAGATTCAAGCGAGTCAAGAGCTCAAAAACCACTAAAAGAACCTATTCCAACCTCGAATAGTTTTCAAATTCTAACCAACATAACTGATTCACAAACAGAACGAGTAAGAAGACCACCTCAAAACGATAACGCTCCACCAATTTTTATAAACGATGTTGAGATTTATCATGGATTAATACCATTCCTAGAAAGTGAAGTTGGCCCGAATATGTTTAAATAAAGTCTACATTGAAAGGTGTCACGGTGTACCCACAAAATTTATACCCAATGACATCTGAATTGTATACCCAAATGACATCTGACATCTGAATCGAAAACTAAATTCTAGCCTACGAACTTCCATACTTACCGACATCCAGAGGTGAGGTTTCCAAGGATTCTTGTTTAATATCTCCACCATGGAACACCAGTAGATATCATTAAAGAAGAATTTAAAAAAATGGCCAATGAAGTCACCAATGTAGTTATCATCATAAACCGATCCAAATAACCCCTTCCTATGTTCTTTAGGGACATTACAAGGGAGACATTTAGGGAAGATATTTTTAGAATGGAATTTATATATCATTCATATATTAAAATCGAGGAATCGCGCAAAAGAGAAATATTTTTCAGTGTGTTGGTTCCAGCGATATGGGTACACTAAAACATTTGGCAACCATATTTCTGGATGTCGCCCAAACGGTCGACAAAGTATAGCATCAGGGGCTTCTTTTCTAGCTTAAGACCATACTCCCATACACCTACTACTTAATTCTTCATTTCATTCTCTCACACAGATTTTTCTCTGTTCGACATGGTCAAGGTCGATCCTCAATTCGAACTATTTTAGCTGGTGTACCTCAGGAATCAATTTCAGCCCCATTACTGCACATCAAACACAATATATTTATCAAAGTATCCACACCCTTACAGCAACCTACGAAGACGATACCGCTATCGTTACTAGACACGAAAATCCCAAACATGCATCACTTAACCTGCAACATCACTTACAAATAATACTTGATTGGTGTAAACTTAGGAAACCTCAAATAAATTATCAAAAGTCACAGGATTACGGACTACAAATATACGGAATTGCAAAAACAACACATAAAAACACTTCAAACTTTTCATTCTTAAGACACTACGACTAATCACTAAACCAACATTGTACATGAACAACCACACTTTACACACCGACTTACACGTTCCGAAGGTCACTGAACACATATGAACTTACTACAAACGATTTCATGGTATGTTAAATGGGCATTCCAACTAGCTTATAAAAGAAATGGCCAAGACTAGTATGCCCGAGAACACCAGAAGACGACTGAAAAGGGTCTGGATGAGGGATATACTTTTATTTATTCACCATTTTAAACTTTATTTATTCACCTAAGCAATGACAATTAGCGGGTCTGCTGCCAGTAAGTGTACAGGTAGTGGCTTGATCGGCGTGTTGGAGAGGAGTGCCCAGCGGCACCCCTTTCTGTCTTAATTTTAGTATATATTTAAGTGAGGAAATCCCTCATCCAGCTCCTTTTGAGCCTCCTAAGTGTATTTTCGGGCATGTTAAATGTAGCCATGCTTTGTATAAGTGTGTTAGTATGTCCATGTAAGTTATTGTGAAATCGCTCGTAGGCATTTGAAGGTCTTTATGTAATGTAATGTTTGTGACGTACCACGGAGCTTTGGTTATGGTTCTAAAAGTTTTAGACTGAAAAGTTTGTAGTTTTCGTATGTGGGTCGTTTCGGCTAGAATATACTTAAATTATGTTTTTTGTTATTAAAAGTCGTGGAACGGATGCCAATGGCGATTGCTTTTCCTCATGCCTATCAAGCCTTTTTATATTTTTTATTATAATTAATTGCCAGCACATCCCATTGTCGATAGTTGTAATTGACAGGAGCGGATAAATAAATGAAAGTGCAAAAAAAAAAAAGTTGAGTGAAACCACAAGGCTAAACAAATAGCCCTAAATACAAAATTATCATTTGATTACATTTTTATTTATTTTTTATAATTTATATATCTAGCCCTAAATAACATATATATATATATATATATATAATATATTATACGATTTTATTTTGACAGAATAATAATTATTTTAATGTATTAAGACATGTGATCAAAGTCCACCTGAGTAAGAAAAACATCTATACATGAGTATCTACAACTAATCCGTCATACATTCTTCCAATAAATCAGCAAAAAAAAAAAAAAAATCATAAAAATCAATTACAATATTTTTAATAAATAATATTCATAAATACCGTACATACAAAATATGCTATATATAAACGCTAAACCTCATTAAACAATTATTAAAGCAATTTATTATTTGTACCATCAACTGTGAAGATCATAAAAAGCCATGTCAAATCTTCCGTAAGTATTTATAATTCTTTTCATGTTTATGTTTTTCAGATTATTATCAGTCTTGAGGAAGCGGGTCGGGAAAAATGTTTTTCAATGCTAACATAATCTTTGCATTTGTATTAATACAACAAGGATATTCCGTAGTTTTGAAATATACATCTGAGCATAATCCTGAACAAATCCATATTTCTTATGGAGGTGAGTAATCAATGGCTATGTAATACATTTTCTATTCTATTCATTTTACTACTTTTATTTATTACTTATAGTTTAATGTCCTGCTTTTATTATGCCACTAAACTGGCAATTTAATTACCCATCTCTGACTGTACAGTATATCGTAGTGGTTCTATCCTTGTGGCGTATTTGTAAATAAGCATATGATCATATGATAGTAACAATTTTATAACTAAGGATATTTTAGTTCATATGTAACAAAATCCATTGAAATATGATATATAATATTCCTTAAAATGTATGACAATATGCAGTATAATATGCAACCAAATAGTGAAAGAAGGTTGCAAAGATAAAATATTGAGTCATAAAAACATTTTAAAAAACATTATCTCACTATAAATAAATAATTTTACTTTTTTTTATTTTTTTAAATAGTATTTTGAATTATTTTGGTATTATTGTACAAGTGTCACTCCACTTTGGTTGATTTCCGAAAATAATATTAGTTTTCACAAATTATTATTAATATTTTTTCCAAACTCTCCATTACCATATCTAGGTTAAATATTGTTTATCTAAAATTCTCCGCTTTCCAACGTATACCTCCTAACTAGTGTTTCCGGAGATTCATTTTCGACCTAAATAAACATTTTACTTTTCTCCCTTTATTCTATTATCGAATTCTTTCAAAAGTTATATTTACCATTTTTTCGTACCTACTAACAATGAGAGACAGTTAATTTTTTTTTAACTGAACCAAATTAAAGGTATTTTATAGGAAGAAATATTGAACGTCGGGCATTTAAGTCTGAGAAGACACACATCAATGTGCATAAGACCTAGCTGATATAAAAGGTCACTTAATAATACACTGATATACACTGACTTCGCATAAAGCATAATTTGATTAATTAAGCAATTTTGTAGGCCTGAAATAAATTCAATCAATCGAAATATGCATAATATATGTCTTTGAACACTGAATAAGTTACAAAAATTATGTTTCGTGCAAATATGAAAATATATGCAGCATAAAACTTTGCCAAAAGCTTTGTGTTGTAACTGAATAAAAGATTTTTTTTTAAAGCTGCGGATTTTAATAAGCCAATCCAATGAACGATGGAGGAATAAAGTTAGGTAATAATAATAATGTAATAAGATATAGATATATCACTATAGTTTGTAAACTACAATATAAAAAAATATACCACTATAATTATAAACTACTGTCGATAAAAATCTTTTTTTAAGATATCAATAGTTTTTAATGAATAATATATTTATTCGATAATATTGCTCCCATTTCATGAAACAATCGATTTGCAGATGAACCTACCGAATCTATGATGATAACATGGTCGACAACAAATGCGACACCACCACCCATCGTACTTTTTGGAAAAGAAAGTCCTACAGAGGAAGTTGTGGGAAAAACAACGAAGTTTGTGGATACCGGAAAGGAAGCCAGGGTGCAATATGTACATCGCGTCAAACTGACTGGACTGCAACCAGCAACTAAGTATGGTAATCTTGAAACAATGTTTTCCTGTTAAGCTGCGTAAACATTATATACTAATCTTTTAGCAAACACTTATCTATTTATTATTATTTCAAGGTTTTCTTCGGCGTAAGGATCGATTTATGTGTTACCGTAGGTTTAATTTTTGAAAAGACTTTTAGAATGAACTATCATGTATTGATTTATTTTACTTTAATCGATTTATTCGAAATAAAGGTCAAATTATTATTTTATGGAATACGCAGTTTTTTAGAATATTATTGATAATAATATTAGGCAATCGCTCATAGATTTATGTCAAATTCGTGTATTTCTGCGATGTAAAAATCGAATTTTACTATCGGAAATTTCATTTTTAAGAGAGAGAATCACTTTATTATCAGTAAAGGGTGCTGCCCAATTACATTGGGTTGTTTCAAACACAGCATACTTATTAATCACTACAGACAATTTTTAAAACTAATATACAATTACATACGATTAACAATATGTATCAGCGTAGTATACAATATTTTATATGTATATATATATATATATATATATATATATATTATATATATATATATATATATATTTCATTTTTATTTATTTATTTAGTTTTTTTTCTTTCATTCATTTATTAGCATTCTATATCTCTTTCTCTTCCTTTTCTCTCCTAATACATTTTTCCTACTCCTCATATTCTCTCCTCTCTCTTCCTAATTCATAAAAATACATAAAGTACAGTGGATGTGTTCAATAAATAATACAAAACAACATCGTGTTATAACTTTTTTAAAAAGTTTTATTTTAATATCAATATTATTTTTAAAATCCATGTATCTGATAACACAATAATAGAGCCATATGTAGAACAAATCCGACAAGTAAAATAAATAGATACTGGATTGCGTGATCTTAAAATCGATAGTATTTTCACAAATTAGACTTTCGATAAAATAATAGTTGAGGCTTTTATCGAAGAAATGCGCAAAGTTAATTTAGCTCTACCTCATTCCTCGTTTATCATGATTTATTCGGGTTAGGTAATGAGTTGAATGTTGAACGGAATGTTTACCTGCGTGGATCTAGTGTTGCCCAAATGCAAGACCAAGACGAGTTTTGGTCTTATGCACTCAGTCTTGATCTTGGTCTTGGTCTTGCGCAAGAGTCTCGCATCAGTCTTGCAGTTACATATTAGCTTATTACAAAAAGAGATATTACTGTAATTTTTCAGGTTGGTGAAACCTAACTAAGTCCAAATGAAGAATTGGAAGTGTTAAATTCAAAAGTATTCTGTTTATACCAATTCTTTACATGTAGTAACTAAAATTGTCAAATATTAGTAACTACTTTGCCTCAATTTTTATTCACAAAACGATTTTTTTTTTTTTACTATTCTTGGTCTTGGTCTTGCAAAGTGCAAGACCGAGACCGATTTTGGGCAACATTCCGTGGATCTGATCTAGTGAACATAGTAAGGAGTACTGAAGCGCGCGCAAAAGCTAGTGGTGAAGCCCCTTTGTCTCATTAAGGAGAAGGGGTTCCATAAAACGATTTTTGAATTTCTGAATCAACTAATTACTAGGACAGCCAAACTGAAGATGAAGGGTTTTATTTTGGATTCGATCGTCTGAATCAATATCCTTGATCTTAAAACAACATAGAGGATAAAATCCCGAGAAATTTACCCGCATAATAAAATTTCTCTGTTCGTTTCCTCCTCATTTTATAACACAAATATTGTACTTTTTTATGCTTTGTGAATCCTCAGAATTATTTCTGTATTCGATGGGCGTCTTTAGTGTTGTGGCTCCCCATGTCCCTATGCATCTAATGTCAGTAAGAGGGTAATCATAGTTTGGAATCATGGAAGAGTTTTAGAAGGGTAGGCCGTTATTAGTAAGAGGGTAGTTTAAGGTCTGGCTATTTGGATTATGTTTTGATGGGATTCATTGGAGGTTGGAGAGTTATTATAAGTCACGAGACTGAATTAAAATTCAAAGACAAAAGAAATGGTCAATTTACTTTTTATCTGTTGCAGTTTAGCCATCTTGAAAAGTGATATTTAATTGATATATCGAGAGATCTTTTAAAACTTGTTAATGTTAGTCAATTCAATGTTTCAAATTAGAAGCGATGAATTTTTTTTTCTATGCACGTTCATCGAGGCTCACAGAACCCGTAGAACCTAATCACTTCATAGTACTCGACTTAAGATTCTTTATCCTATTGAACCTGGGTTATCGAACCGTGACGTTAAACGAATTATAACTGGCGCGTCAATCAAGATATTTATTTATCTTTTTAACAACGCTTCATGTTTGTCAATTATTTTTCTATAAGATGTTCAGGTGGAATAAGTAGCTACTTAATTAGTCAATATGAAAATTAAACAAATACAAAGTCGAATTTACGTACGCAATTGGTTCGTTTGTTCAAAATGAAGGATGTTGGTAATCCGCATTGGCTCTTTAGTTTAGTTTTTTTTTATTTTACTTATATTCATTTTCATTTAATTATTTTTTTCAATCCATTACGCTAGAAAATATTACAATAAAAGCTGATGTAAAAGTGAGTTGGAAAGGTCGTTTTAATAAATCAAAATATTTTAATTGTCTAGGATTGACCTGTAATTGTTGGTACAAAAGGGGCAGAATGGTACTGAGTAGTTAAATCAAAACTATTATTTTTAATATTTTCATATTAAATATAACTATTACAACGTATTTTAAAACAAACAGTATTTAAACAATATCATTGATCAGTTATCATTAGTATTATAGTTATCTTTCATCTGTTTAATTTATGTAAAATCCAAGTGTACTATTATCATTGATCTACATTTGCTTATGTGATTGCTAAATACTTAAGCTAAATATTTTAACAATCATAATAAATTCTGTTTTTCAATTACTATGCAGCTATGGAATGTAAGCACTTATCAAGAAAAATATATAAAATTAATCTCTAAAAGCATTATTCTTCCTGTAATTACCGTTTTAAAGGGTTTAATTTTTGGAAGATTTTTTTTCTTCCTTTAAGGGTCATTTAAACATCATTTAATTTAGGTATTTTTTTTTTTTATTCCTTCTAGAGGAATTGGCTTTATAAAAAAAAAAAAAAAAAAAAAAAAAAAAAAAAAAAAAAAAAAAAAAAAATTAAATCTTGGATCTCCTATTGGCGTAGATTTTTCTTTACACAAAATATTAATGTTTTAAATGTTTACAAAGTTAAATAAGTCCAATCCCTCTTATGCCTATTGAAATATATAATGCTTTGGGCATGGAACTTGTAAGACAATTTGCACTTCCAACATGTTTTTGTTTTGGGACATAGCTAATCTTTCCAATCCAGTAAGCTTTCTTGTACAGATCTATCTAAATGCTAGTGTGATCCTACTTTAATATAATTAAATAAAAAATTATCCAAGTCAACGAGTTTTCAGCAGCTCCAGAATTTTTAAAGAATATGGAGGTAATTTATTGATAGGAATAGTTGTCTAAATCAACCTAACTAGTTCAGTCTGAGTTCAGGCTCGTATTGTTTGCAATGTAGCTATTAAATCAACTTTATTTGAATTAACTCATGTATTTAAAATTACAGTTTATAAATGTGGGAGCGAACTGGGATGGTCAGATCAATTTTCCTTTCGAACAGCAAATGATTCAACCGACTGGTCACCAAAAATATTTCTCTATGGAGACATGGGCATTACTAATAATCGAGCTTTGCCCCTATTAAAGAATGAAGTAGAGAAGGGTAATGTGGACACAATTATTCATGTTGGAGATTTTGCATATAATATGGATGATGTAAGTATAAATATCTATAATCTGATCTAAAATCCATATGATATCCTGCAATCCTTATGAGTTTCTTAAACTCTTAATTTTTGGGCAGCCGCTTTCCAATTACTAAGGCGCAAAAGTTAATTCATGTTGCTTGCCGTCCCATCCACACATCCTGGTTTTAGAATTCTCACTGTCCTACTAGCTCCTTCCTCTCTCTACATTTTCTGTATATCTGTTAATATCATTAACCTTAAGTGACACATCTCAGTTTTCCTAGTTCAATGACTCTGAAGACAATGACAGGTTCATTAAAAAGTTTGTAGGGTTTTATTCTTCTGCTTCTTTAGAACCCAGACTATCACAGAAAATATAAAATATATTTTATGTAATAAATAGTAACAATAACACGTTTAAAAAAATAAACATTTAACATTATTACAAAATATGCCTCTTTCACAAATTTCAGTCTTATTAATGTTGTAAAAATTATTGGAATGCTACATTCATTAATTATAATTTTATTTTAGGACAATGGTCGTGTTGGAGATGTCTTCATGAGGCAAATACAGCCGTTAGCTGCTAATGTTCCTTACATGGTTTGCCCTGGGAACCATGAAAGAGCCTAGTAAGCAGCATTTGTACAAATAATTTTCTGCTGGACTATATATTGTCAAATAGTTTGTTTCATTTATTGATTGTTCCAATTTATTTCAATTTTAGTAATTTCACTCAGTATCGGATGAGATTTAGCATGCCTGGAAACACAGAAAGCCTGTTTTACAGTTTCAATTTGGGACCTGCACACTTTATAAGCATAGATACAGAAGCTTACTATTACCCAGAATTTGGTGTATGGCCTCTCATTAACCAGTGGAATTGGCTTATTAATGATTTGAAAGTAATCGTTTAAAAATATTTCCTATAAATATGCACATCGTCAATAGAAATGCTAACTATCGAATATGAAAAATTTTTAATCCTGCACTCTAATAATTGTAATCAAATATTTTCAAAGAACGGATACAAAATCTTCAAACATTCATAAAAGCACATATTAGTGTAGAAATTAAAACATCCTCGTTATTTGGGCTTAATTGATAATGATATTAGAGTGTTTATTTTCAGATTCGATAGTTAGTACTTGTATCAGACAACATGAATGAGTTCAAAAAACATATGTATTTCGTTTCATCCAATTCTTTCTAATAATTGATTGATTGAATCATTAGACTTAATTATTCTAAAGTATGGTATATATGATTAATGATATTTTCAAAGATTGTTTATCAATAAATTTATCGTAAAGAAAAATACTATTAACATAATTTAGCAATAAAATAAAAATAGGTTTGTTTAGGTTTATGAATGAGTGTCTCATTTTATTCATTACGTAAATAAATATAATATGAAACATAGTTTTAGTTATTTATATTTGGTTTTAATTATTAAATAATTCTTACTTAATACTAAGTAAAAAAAAAATAATTTATGCAATGTTAATATTTGAAAATTACTAAAGAAAGAAGCACTGAAAATTAAAAAAAAAAATAATCACTGAAATTTTCCAAATTATAAAAGCTCATGGAAGCTTTTATAGTTGGGAACTAGCTTTTGTGAATACATAACATAGATTATGTAAGTTCCTTCTTAATTCCATTTCTTGATCAGTATTAAAATCTAGTTACATATTAATTTTAAGTATTGCTTTTATTCCAAAACATGCTTATTAAGTGTATAACATAAAATCAAATCAAAATAATCATTATTTTTTGTAGTTTATAAAATTTGACTGTTAATATTATGTTAATATTTTCTACTTTAATGTTATCATTTATAAAATAATTCATATACAAAGTTGTACCGCTAACTCTTTTCAGGAAGCAAATAAACGAGAGAATCGACAAAAAAGACCTTGGATTATAGTTTATGGTCATCATCCAATGTATTGCTCAAATCTCTGGATTGATGACTGTTCACTGAAGACAACAAAAACACGAGTTGGCATTCCAAATAAACAAAATAATTGGTAAATAATATAACAAATTAATAAATTATGTAAGATTTAGTTAATGATCAATAAAATAAATACCTTCAAAGATAAGTTTATTATTTATTTTAAAAATTAGCAAATAAACAATTAAAAAAAATGAATAAAAAATAAAGCAATTATAATATAAGAGTGGTATTAATATTTATAGCACTTATATTTTAATATTAGATATTATATAAATTCAGAATATATATATATATATATATATATATCATTCTTTTACTACCTAAACATTTAGATTGAAAGTAATGAAATACATTTTTTAGAGATATTACTTTAATACTAGTTACACTTTTTTTGTTTACAATTACTTCTTGCCATAAACTAGTATATCTGTGTCATTCTTCTATGGTTTTTCTTTGAATCCCCATTTCATATCACAACTTTATTGATGTTTGGTCCTATATTGATAATTCGTATATTTTAACCATGCATCCATTTAATTTTTAAAGTGTAAAAGTTGGACTTTTTTTTTTCTTCCTATGCTTTGGACATTGGTCATTCGACACAAATGTTTTATTTCTTATGTCCATCAAAGCAGAACATGTGTCTAGGTCCATTTTTTCTTTTTCACATAATTTACATCTAGGATTCTCAGCCACGCTTATCTTGTGGAGATGACTTAAAATTGTTGAATTAAAAAAAACTATATATAATTCAACTGGATGTATGAGCAATGACCCTCTCCTGAGCTGTTTAATCAGGAATTATGGTGTGATTATCCTGGATCAATAGCCCCCAGAGGTTTGGTGCAAGAATGGTCTCTTTCAGGAAAAGAAATGTAGATTCTCGTGGGCCTGCTGAGTTTGAGCAGTCATAATCATATATTATTAAATACAAAAGTTTGTGATATCTTTCAATATACATGTAAAAATATTAGTTAATATTTTGCAAGTAATATTGGAGAGCGAGAAAAAAAACAAAATAGGAGTTTCAACTTTGTGTCACAAGAATTCGCTCCTGGGCTGCAATATAATCATTGACAAACTATAGTTCTTTTTAAAAGATATGCATTTCCTACAGTTTATTATAATAGATTAAGAAAAATGTGAATTATAATATAATTTTTATTATTTTGTAGGTATGAATACGGTTTGGAAGAAATATTCTACAATGCTGGTGTGGATATTGAATTTTGGGGTCATGAGCATTCATATGAAAGACTTTACCCAATGTATGATTACAGAGTAAAAAAGGGTTCTGGAAAAGATCCATACAAAAATCCTAAAGCTCCAGTTCATATTACATCTGGTATAGCTGTAAGTTATTTCAACAAACAATAGGTTTAGCTGTACTTTGTATAAAATGTTTAGCTTAAGGAATAACTTTTTTTTTTAATTTCTAACTTTTGCTCTATCCATGCTGTCATTATGGTGAAAGTTTATTTCTTTATTACTTATTATAAAAAAAAATAGTATTATTATTATTAGTTTTTAATTAAGACCAGAAAGTTAATTCCTTATTCAAGTAAATACTCCATCATTCCTATGAAATTTAGTCCATTTTTTTAAAGGTTGTAGTCATAAACGTATCAATTAAAAATAAAATGTATACTTCTTTATTTTAATAAGTCCAGAAAAATAATGATATATATGAAAAACTGATTATCCATAACTTTTAAGAGTCACTTATAATAATTTTTAATTTCAGGGAAGCAGATACCGTTCCACTTATTTCAGTTTTATTAGACCAAATTGGTCAGCTTTCAGGAGCACTGAATATGGCTACACGCAGATTCATGTCCAAAACACTACACATATTAATATAAAACAAATAAATGCGAATAAGGTAATGCGCTTTCTTAAGTTTATTTATTTTAGATGTGAAAAAAAATTACTACGTCTTTCAGGTGAACTGAAATAAAAATCAGATTTAATCTCAATATAATCTGTTAAAATATATTACTTAATTAAATACATTATATTAAAAATTCTAATATAAAATAAAAATAAAATGATAATATTTTAATAGAAAGAATATTTAGAATGACAAGATTCACAAATAAATAACATTTTATTGGTTGTTGTGTTTATCTTTTATTACTGCAAGAAAGAAACAGTGACAATTTTTTTTATAAATTTCCTACTGACTACTAAAGCAGAAATAATGAAAAGTTTGCCAAAATTAGAAGTATGTATTAAAAACTAAAGACATTGTTATGATGCTGGCTATATATTTGTTTTAATTAGAATTATGACATTAAATTTGTTGATAAATTCAGAATGTTTCTTTTGTCCATAGTACATAGTTTGAAGGAAAGAAACATTTAAAAGAATCAGTAACCATAGACATATGACCAGAAAGGAACATTAATCAATTATTTTATCAGGATCCATTATAATTTTCTTTAGAAAATTTCTTCTGTTCACAACTGTAGTAATTATTCTTATAATATTACTTATCAATGATTTCATGTTGATTATTCTTAAAGTAATAATTATAGGGGAGATATGTTTTCCTTGGGTCTGTATTTTTCAATGCTTCTTAAATTTTAAAATAACAAAAAAATTTAAAAGTTCTAAATAGTGATTGATTTATTATTTTTTGAAGATAATTTTTAAATTATTTAATATTCAGATCTTACCTTTTTTTTATTTTTTGTAAATAATAAATGACCCAAGGTACGATTAATATGAATGTACCTTGGGTAATATTTATAGAAAATAATAAACAGTGATTTCATCAGTGAACAAACTGATCAAGGGTTTCGCTTTTAAAAAATTCAAACAAATAGCTGATAACACATCTGCTGAAAGTGTGTTAAATACCACTATAATTGCTTGTTTTAATGCTGTTGGAAATTCTGTAACACCAATTGTTTCCTTTATTCCTATCAACACTACTTCTGGGTTTTCTTCATTTGGTTTATGGCTAATCAAATAATTAACATTTCCTGACTGACTATTTCACAAACCTAATTTGAAATTATTTTTATTCATTAATATAGGTTAAAAATAATTTATCATTTCAAAATTTTGATTTTTTTTTTTTTTTTTCAGAAAGTCATAGATGATGTATGGCTAGTTAAAAATCAGAACAAGGTGTTCGGCCTTAATGAAGGTGATGAAAAATAAGTTTTAATGAGTAAGAATGAGAACATTTTTTACCCGAGATAGAGAGCTCTCTGACCTAATATAGGGAAATATGTTCAATATAAAAACCATGTATATAAGTATTTATATTCAAATTTATTGTAAGAATTTTATACAATACGATGATGTAGAAATAAATACTCATGAAGTAGTAATAATAAACAATCCATTTATTAATAAAATATAACCCAAATAATGATTTCGAAAATATGATTTAATGTAGGAGGCAGGAGCTGATGAAAATTTTTTTACTATGAACCAGATAGCGCAACTTGAAATATCAGTTTTATGGACTTATGCCAATCCAATATATGTGGACACATTCACAATTATTTAATTAGAAAATCAGTTATTGTTAACGCTTGTAGCAATTAATTTCTTTTAATTAATAACTTTGTTTTGTTTTATTTCCATTAAGTTTTTAAAGTTTTAAAAATCAAAATAAAAGAAAAATGAAATCAGTTTTTCTAATGAGAAATATACATACGGTTGGTAGTAGTTTATATTCTCGATTGTTATAAAGTGCATTATAGCCCTACCGATACATGTGTAAGTTTTAAGTTTTAAGCCCATGGGCTTCGTGAACTGGGAAGTCTGCCTTACTTTTTAGCCACATTGAGACCACATCCAAGTCCCGCGGAGCATGGCTTGTTGTGAAAAAAAGAAATCTTGCTTTATAAACGACACTTCAGCTTTGAAAATGAGCTTTCTAAGAGAAAAAAACAAACAATAAATGTAGTAACCTCGTGAGAATAATTTGCTAAATTTCATATTTTAAACAGTTTTTAAAATTTTATCAGGTAATCGAAGAAACTTTCACAGGCCGTATTTTGGAGACCCCTGATTTAGATGAATTAATTTTGGTCAGTTTTATAGAGATATAAATATCATAGCATTTTATTCAATATTTCATTATTTTTTCAGAGAACTTAAATTTATTTCCGTTTATTAGTAGCTCTTATTTTAGTTTATTATCAATCAAATGTAAGATTGATATATTTTTTTTCTCTTTATTACTTGCTATTTTGGAAAAAAAAAATGCTTAGTCCAGGTTTTGTTTTGTACAATATTAAACAGTCACATTCCATTATTACTGTTATGTAATATTTTCTGTTATTTTGTCATATGTTAGTCAAGCTTCATTCTAAGTTATATCATAAAACCTTTAAGAAGCTTAACATAATTTTGGTCCTGGTTGGCCCGGCATTAAGCATTTATTTTTAAAATATTGATTAATTTAGTACTTAATATTAAACTATATTAATAAGAAACGTAATTACTCATTTGTTCAAAACCGCCAATTTCCGAAACATCTTCACCGAATGCTTTGAAATATTGACGTTTATATCGGATTCAGGAGTGTTTTTTATATACATTTAATTATCTCTGGTCTTTCATTTTGGAAATGTAGCCGAAAAACATATGTTGCTATAGACTGTAGCGCCTAAACGGCAGTAACGATTTTAATTAAACTTGGATAAAATTTTCTCCCTGAAGCCCTTTCAATTTATGTATATAACATCCTTTCCTGAAAGAGTATGAAAAAAAAAATTATTATATATTATATAAAAATTATAGAAGGATGGATTCAAAACTATATTTGCGAATAATTCAAAAAGTACACAATTTTTGTTTGATTATTTGAAAGCTTCCTGAAGTCCCTGCAAATTATAAAAAAACATTGAAATCGAAAGAAATTATCTCCGAAATGAAACAATTTGTACCAGAGCAAAGTGGATCAAATATTTTTTTTTTTTTAAGGAAAAACAAAGTTGATACTCATGTTTTGCATTTCGATAAATCCTCAAATACGAATTTTCATTGCTATCGAAAAATAGAAATTGTTTGCTTTAAATCTTCATCAAGGCCTTAATTTTTTTTCTCTAAAAATCACAAAAGTTTTGATAACTTTGACATGGCTCTACTTGAAAATCAGCATGCATTTAGGACCCTATAATATGCACGAAATGGTACAAATCAGAGTACCGTAAATAAATTAGGCTTGGAAATAAAAGATAAAAGCGTGTTTGCAGTTTTTCTTTATTTATTCAGCTTTCCAATGGTCATAGAAACATTGAATTAGGAGAAAATCATGAGTCATTTAGTGAAAAGCAGGTAAAACAATTCTAATAGAGTGAATGGGTTTCTATGGCGACCCATCACCTATCTATCCCTTCATTTATATTAATAAAAATGTTTGATTGTTCAAAACCGCTAATCTCTGAAACTTCTTCACCAATTGCTTTGAAATATTGACATAACGTTTCTGTCGGATTCAGAATATACATTTTATTACTCTCCGGCCTTTTGTTTTGGAAAGCTTCTCAAGTTCCTACAAATTAAAAAAAAATCACTGAAATCGGGACAATTTGGTGCACAGATATAATGTTATAAACATTAAGTACTTTTTCTTCAGAGATTAAGAGACGGATTGTTTCTCCCATAGACAATTATAAGTTTCATATTCTAGAGTTGGAAAACCATACAATCTCTATATCTATACAAAGAAAGGAACAACAAAAATTATCACATATCCATAAGTATTGTGAAATAAAATATATTTAAAACACCTGCCTTCTTTTTTATTTCTTTTTCTATTCAACCAGAATGAGTCACAGCAACGCGTGGCCGGATACAGCTAGTTATTCTAATAAAAAAACAACAATATCAACAATCATATCTTTTAAGAAAAAATTAATATTAAACATTTTATTTTCAATAACAAGCCAGTCAACTGTGATGTCTATATAAGATATAAACAGTAGATTTATACAATACAAATTTTAACATGATATAAAAATAAGACTACGAAAATTCTATAATAGATGGAATACAACAAAAAATATAGTAAAAACTGAAAATATTTAACAAAAAAATAAAATAAACATCTAAATTTTAAACTATCAAAAATGTACATACTACAGGATATATTTAAAATTGGAATGTTATTAGGGGTTCGTAAAGAAGACATTTAAAATTTTGTTATCAACTTATGGTGAAAAACTTGATATTTAATAATTCCGGAATGTACATTTCTTTGGTTAAACATAAAAAAAAGTTATAATTATTTAACAATGATCTTGAAAAAAAAAATTGAGAAAAATCTAAAACAAATATATCAATATTGCACATTATAATTTTAAAAATAAAATAAAGAGTATTTAGAAATTATTCTTAATATCATATAATACAAATAAAATAAAATAAACTTAACTTTTTTTAAAATCTAAACTCGTCATGAGCCACATATAAAATTCCTGTATCACAATAACCAATTACATATAACATTTGAAAATATATATTATAATTAAATTGTATAATAGATAAATTGTATAAATACATTATTTTATAACGTAATAAAGATCAACGATTATTATTTAACTGTTACTGTGAATTTGAAAAACATTTATGTTTGTACAATACGGTAACATTTATACAGCCATAAATAAGAAACTATGCTAACCAGTTTGAGTGATACAGACAATAAAATGAACAAAAATATTTTTAATTAGAGGAAATGAATCAAGTATTTCTTATAAACTACAAATACACTATATAATCAATTGCACAAGAATAAAGAAATAATATTTACAAAACATTATCAAGATTGAACAAAAGAGGTATACATTTTCAAAATAATAATTTATGTACAAAAAAATCATGAAATGATGTACAAAATATTTGATTTTTTTTTTTTTCCGACTGATAAGATTTGGGTGGAAAGAAGAAAATAATGAGCACAGACTGAATTATTATAGAATTGTAATTATCATATTTATTTTCACCATGTAACTATTAACTATATTTTTACGATGATTGCAGTCAGTAAGTTTTATTTTACATTTTTCTTACTAATTTAGGTAAAAAAATTTCTTAATTTTCTTTGATCTGATTTTATAGTAACTTAACATTAAAATAATCACAAATTTAAACACTTCATCCTGCAATATTTAGGATTTAACGAAATAAAATTCTAGCCTCTGTTTTTTGGGAGAAAAATAAAATAAATATTGAACAACATATCAAGCTAAAACTTGTAATAGAGATCAATTAGTCTCTACATATGAATTGTTTAACTTCATAAACTATAACCTGGTAAATATATAACATCTTTTATAAAAAAGATAAGAAAAAAGTCAGAAGTATGAATCCATCTGAAAAATTTATCAGCTAAATAAATCTAAGTACAGAGATCATGATTAATTTAAATTTATACATAAATATTTTTTTTTTTTTAAATAATAGATGTATTTCAGTTTTGAAATAACCAATAATAATAAAAAACTTTTGAAAAGTTTAATCTAAAAATCAACTTTAACAACAAATGACTTTTGATTCATTTGAATAAAATTTTAAAGAGTCAAATTAAGCTCAGAGGAACTCAGAGTAGGTCATAGTAACATCTGCAATAAATGGCTGCAGGGAAAATTCAATAAAAAAAAAAAAAAAATCACTTAAGCTGCAGCGAGCAAAAGCAACAGTGAACTACTTTTTTTTATATTCTAAAGATTATTAAAAAAATTAATAGTAAGCTTAAAAGTTTTCATCAAATTTAAACTTATTTTCCTCAGAATTTATTGTAATAGACTGATACTGATACTGATACTGTGATAAGACTATTGATGACATTTTTATATAAAGAGTGAAGTAAAAGTTTAATCAAAGTTCTTCTAATCTGTAATGGACTCTTGATGTACTTTTATCACGAAAAGCTTTTTAATTACCAATATAAAAATAAAGTAGTTGCTCTGACCACATTGCTATTTTATTTTAATGTTAAAAATATGATATATATATATCAGTTTTTTTTTTTTTTAAATGTCTATGTATATTATTTTTTCTCTTTTTTCCCCCACTTTAAAAATACAAAACTGGCTAAATAAAGAAAAAAAAAACAGTTAAAAGTCCTATTAATAACAATCAACTATACCATGTTAAACATTGGCCAAGATCAATAATTTGGAATGGACATATAACTATCGGCTATAAACATTAATTACTAACTTAAAAATACGAGATTAACAACATATACAGATATAACAGTATTATTTGAACTGGAAATAAACCTACAATAAAATTCTTATAGGCCAATATCATAATAATATCACATATGACATAAATATGGCTATTTTGTGTCAACATTAAAGAATAAACTCTGTTCAGGATTACAAATCCCATTTAAAAATTAACAACTTTCATTCATTGATTGCACAAATTAATATAAGCAGAGGTAGCTAGATTTGTAAGGCTGTCCGTATTGTTGTTGGCCTGATGGTTCTGGTCTCCCAATATAAGAGATGAAGAAAGTGAATTCGACAAAGTGCCGTCATCCAGCAGGCTCAGCTCTGCTAGATCTCTCGAATCGAGTCTATTTAAGTTCAGTTCCAAACTGAACTCCTGTAAAAACAACATTCTATTGACTTGCAGGTAACCATAATTTGATATTTTTATTTTAAAAATACTGTAAGCATCTATTCAGTAGTACCATAATGTATTTATACCAAAATAAATATTGGGTTGAGGAAAAAGTAATTTCGTTTTATCACAATTAGGTGACTTGAAAGTCTCTTCACGTAATCCTAATAAAATAAAGCCATTCTAAAGTATGTTTGAAAGGTGCACAAATATTCTATATATAAAAATAGTGTCATTCGTTTACTTAAGCAACAGGTATTGCACTTTAAAAAAGGAGGTTTCAGATGGTCATTTTCGTCATATTTTATAAGGAAAAAATGCAGCTAAATGAAAACCGTGGCAAAGCCCAGATTGGTAAAGAATTATTCATCATGAACTGCTCGAACCTGGCCAACCATTAATTCAACTCTCTACTATGTAGTGAGATTGGAGGAGGGGATTCAAGAAAAATGGCCAGAAGTGATGAATAGCGTTGTTTTCCATCATGACAACGCTAGATCACACATATATTTAATGACCTGAAGAAGATCGTGAGAGCTTAGCAGGGAAGTTTTGATGCCTCTACCGTACAGCCGGATCTTACCCCGTCTGACTACCATTTGTTTCAGTCTTTGTAGAACTCTCTAAATGGTGTAAAGCTGGCATCAAAACATGATGGTGAAAATTACTTGGTTCACTTTTTTCCCCACGAATCTCAGAACTTTTACAATGAAAGACTTATGGTTTTATAAAAAAAATGGCAAAAGGTTATTCAGCAAAATGGCAGATATATCATCGGTTCGTTTTTGAAATTTATATAAATAAATTCACTTTGAAAACATGAAGAAAAATAAAATTACTTTTTTCTCAACCCAATATTAAGTGCCAAGAGTCAAGGCCTACTCCAAGGAATCTGCTATATTGATGATAAATAATTGATTTCGTGAATATTAAGGGTATAGGGAAGATCTGAAATCAATGATCAATTTAGGAAATTGAAGATCTCTCCACCCAGAAAATTTATCTGATACATTCAAATTCATATTGTATCACATCCATCAGCTTCCAAAAAATTTCAGTACTAAAGTAGTACTTAAATAGCCCAACCATCATTTCCAACTAATGCAACTTATATAATCAAATCTTTGAACTATTTCTAATTAAAAACTCAAGAGTTGGGACCTTTATATTTTTAAGGGAAATTAAAGTTTCTTTACTTTTCTGTTAAAAGGATCTATAAATAAACAAAAATATTTCAACAATTCTAGATACATTATCTAAAAAAGTTGATTATGATTTATGTTGAAACTTATGTCAGTGTGTCGATAAATATTTCTCAACTAACCTAAATTTGAAGATGCACAACTTGCCCATCTGGATAAATTTTAAAACATTTTTGATCGATTCAACAAATTAGTCCTTCAAGTTTTTATATATATATATATACAATATTATTGTTCAGTATAATCAGAGCCACACTGCAAAAACTTGTAACTAAACATTTTCAGTAGAAGAAAAATACTGAGTAATTTTTTTTCTATGGGCATTATATTTTTGGTTTAATTTTTTTTTGCAGGGTAAGACAATGATGTAATGCTCTATGTAACTTTTTTGACCGTATTTCTACCAAATAATCTTTTATAGCAATACTTCTAACTTATAGCTTTTTAGTTACTTTGAAAAACATACATTAGTTAGGTAAAAGTCATAAAATTTATTGTAGTAACGCACACGGCTTAGTTATTATTGATCAAAGCATGACAGGAACAAAGTCAGTTTCCAAAATATAGAAAAACGGTACTTCAAATGAAAATTTGTAAAATATTTGACTGTAAAGTGAGTATTTGATCAATTTAAACGATTATTCACTTTTTTGTCTCCCACTGTAGGCGGCTCGGACGAAGTGCATGCACCCCATTATGGAGTAGACTATGAAAGTATCGTTTTTAATGTACTCAACTTCATATGCACATGGTTTAATTCACGAATGCTTGGTAATTTCTAGGTAACCTGTTAATGTGTAAATCACATCATTTTTAAGTTTCTTGCGCGATTTCAAAGATTCATCAGTTCAAAAAGATGAAACTAGAGTTTTTTTTTCATCTAGTATTGAATTTTCCAATTAATGAAATCAATTCTCTGTCTCTCACTATCAGGAATCCGGCGACATTGTAGCTTTTTTTTAGTCAAGCTCGTTTTGCAGTTACCAGGAGATTTCGATTGTTTTGAAGGACGTTCAATATTATATTCTCACTAGCCACTCTCGTCTTTGCTTCGTCTCCTTCTTTGGTAAGCAGTGCCGTAATCAGCAAGGAGAACTCTGGCATTTGCCCAGAAGCACCGGGCTGGAAGTGGCCGCCACTTATTAGAAATTTAAAAAAAGGATACAAAACGTATGAGAAAAATTAATTTATGTCTATTAATAAAGCTAATTGATAGTGTAGTATATGCGCAACACGCTTTGTACATTCTATATTTACATGACAACCTTTCATCAAGAATTTCATTAACTTTTTTTGGTAACAACACAATCTTTAAAACCTTTACTGTAACTTACAGTTTTTTTCATCACAATTTTCTGGTTTTTAAATTACATGTTTTTACAAAAAGTCATAGAGAAGAAATGAAGCATCATTGATTTAATTTTGCGAGATCAGAATATGCGCCAGGACAAGTTAGACAAGAAAAGCTCAAAACCTTAATTTCCAAAGAAATTGTCCATACAGGCTTTTGCAGTGTGGCTGTTGATGTAATACATTTTGTACCATAGTATATATCAAGTGCCAAGAGCTTTAAACACAAAATTTTATTTCGTAATGATTGGGTTGGAGAATATTAAACATAAAAGAACATTAATCCTTATTGTGCCAACTGAAGGTATAGAAAATGTTAAGATGGGCTCACCTAAACAATGATATATGGCCATCGACACTTTTCATAAGTGTAACAAAGATATATCAATGTTTGGCACAGAAATGGTTAACGGTGCAGAATCATCTGAAATATATGCATGATCAATCCCAAAAAATGAAGACCACTACAAACAACACATTTATCATTTCTTTTTAAATTATTAAAATTTTATCAGATGTTCTTCATTCAACTTACATGAGTATCCATGTTGAGAATGTTAGTGGCCTCCGATAGGAGCTGTGGCTGTGCCTGTTGTGAGTGTGGCTGCTGTTGGTGCAGCGGCTGTAAGTGCGGCTGCTCCTGTTCTACTTTGATGCTGTAAGGAGGATAGACAGGCAAAGCGTTGGCGGCATTGACAGCAGGGAACGAAGCGGACGCTCCTGGCATTTCGTAATGTTGTTGGTGGTAATGGTCCGTACCAGGGGAAGGTGTCCTCGAAGTATAGTAGATAGGAGAGAGCTTTACCATCTGCTGAGACGCGAGTGCCATGTAAGAAGGGTTAGGGCTGGTACTGCTTCCTTCAAACCAAATAATAATGTTATAAATAATCACTACTTAAAAGAAGTTTATTTTGTAATGAGTATCCCGATAGAATAATGTTAGAATTAAATATTTACAGGATAATTTTTCTCTAACATATACCATAAAATAAAGAAAATCTGAAAAGATTAAATATACTTAAGCATAGGCCTTCGTAAGAAACTTACTTCATCCAGGTAACTGATCATTATCAATTGTATTGGTAAAATGAATTTTTAAACAAGCTCAATTCGTAATTAGCGATTGTTAATTAAAGTTTTTAGCTAAGATAGAATTATTAATTATCTCGAACAATTTTGATTAAACTCAGTATACCAGCGAACAATTAAACGGTCTTTAATATCAGCTAGTTTTTTTTCTCATTGGTGTACCTAATAGAGATTAAATGCCAAATATTCAAAATTTCTTTCTTCAAAGTACCATTAGTTTGGTCTATTTAAAATAATTAACTGTATTCTATTGTTAGAAGTAATAGAAAAAAAAAATGATAAAAAGTACGAAAGAATTTGATAATTGATTTAGCGAGAAAAAAAAAAGTTTTTTTTTGGTTGAAAATGAATTTCCAGAAATAATAGGCAGAATATATCGTTGGAAAGCTTAGGATTTTAGAAAAAATTATTTTTAAATTAAATAAAGTATATAAAATCCACCGAATCAAGGAAATGACATTGTTTAAAAAACTACTTCATTGTATAAGTATGAAAGGAGTAAAATATAAAGATATTTCATAGATGTGTATAACATATATTTATAAACTTAAATACATTTACTGTAGTTTAATAACTCTAGATCTGCTATATTATTTAAATAAGTAGGTATCTATCATCCATTAATTCCCAAAAAATCATTATTTAACCTTTTAAAAAATTAAATCAGTGAATAATTTGATGAATTTCCCCTATGTGAAATAACAATATGATACACTTCTAATTTATGTCACAAATTTTGACCTATTAGTAGTAGGCAATGAAAATCTCGTAACTCCAATTTAATAAATTATACAATGGAAAATAAGTGTTTAATAACTAATATTTATTAAAAAAATACAATTCATAATCATTTATAGGTTAAATATACAGATGTAGTTTCAAATCTCTCCAGGCATATTTAGCTCAGAGATTGGAGTAATGAAGTTTTCATTGCTCACCGTTTATAAAATAAAAAAAAAGGTTTGTGTTATTTTAATGGCCTTAATTGAGTTGTTACAGGTTAGCTTTAAGGTTTTGCACTGTTAAAAATGCACTTCAAAATCTTTGTAATAGCCCAACATTGCCAGAAAATAATTTCTATTCAAAGTAGAGTGATAAGTGAAAGTTGTGTGATGCGCACACCATATTTTTAATCATTTTGTCTATGACAATGTTTTAACTGCAATTTGATATTTTATTTAAGATCAGAGTTAAAGTATTTTTTTTATTAAACTACCTTCAAATATTAAATTATTACCATGAAAAGAAATTAGAACAAAGAGATCAATTTTATTAACAACCTAAAAAAACCCAAGGATATCAAAATTTTAAACTTGTTTTTCTTTAAATTAAAAATTGAGTGGTTGGAACCTTCTCAAACCAGTAAAAAAAGTTAGCTATTTTTTGAAAATTTCTTAGAGGAAAATTTTATTCAGTCAGAGATTGATAACATTTTAGATTTTATCAACAAATGCAATTATTAACACATTAAAGTTAAATTTATAGTGCTCCAACAATAGGAATGTTAGCAGTAGTAGCAATAGAAGAGGCACTAGAAACATTCTATCAGAGTAGTCTGGTAATAGAATAGTAGGAAATAACAGCAAGGAATAGATGATGCTTAACAACAAAATATTATAAAAAAAAGAAAGGGAACAAGAAGATTTTCTCTATAACAAAAACTGTTTTATAAGGAAACCCAAAGGCTTAACATAAAGAACTCAACTTATTTCATCAATCAACATACAGATATGTACCAACTAAGTCTTAACTACAAACACAAAAAGTAGAAAACTACTTTTAATGGATGATTTGACAATTGGAAACAAAAAGGTAACTTTTTCGTTGATTTTATTTAATTTACAAAAGATAAATATCAGAAGGTCAACCTGTGGCAAAAAAAAAAAAATAAATAAATATATAGTAGTGAGTTATATTATTCTTTCTAGAGCTCTCGGCTTAAAAAACTGTTCTCAACCATTTATTCAGTTCTCCTTCCTCCTTCTGTAGAATTTATCTTTTCAATTCTATACCAAATATAAGCTCTTGTAATGCTTAAATACCATGAATGGGGTACCGTTGGATTCAGAATTTCACGGAGAGTTAGCGCATCATACCCTCTGCTATTGTTTTTCTTTCTAAAATAAATAAAAACAATGTAAACAATTTTCTAGGTTTCAATACTGGAACGGTGGTAAGTCTGTAGATCGATACAAGATAAATTGGGCTTTGAGGATTTTGATGCATACACTAAGACCCAGATATCGGGACCAGCGTTTTTAAGCCCAAAACCGCACTATTTTCGAGATAATGCAAGGCAAAGTGTTTGCATCCACACAACCTCACATTAATTGTAGTGTTGCCATGGAAGACATGTCTGATTTCGTCGACTTGAGGTCTCTATGATCGAGAGAGGAGTTTATATTATTTATCAAAGGTGTTTTTTTTTTTTTTTGTCAGTAAGCCATATCATCGTTAAGTCTTCATCAAATACCAGATTGAGCCATCAATTGTGAAGGTTTCTTGAAGGATTATTGATTGAATTAATAATTAAGGATTGAAATTCTGAAGGAGAACTTCAGGCAGGGAAAATAGTCCAATCACCCTAAAAATTCAGGGAAAAAAAGTTATGAAAGAAAAGAAACTTTATTTGAGAAAACTTAAAAATTGCACACTTTTCCCTTGATTATATAAAAGATTATGAAATTCCCTACAAAAGGAAAAAAAAGTCATTAAAATCCGATATTTATTAGCAAAAACGCAGCTTATGGAAATTTGCAAACATTTTGGTTCTAAACATTAATGGAGTTTTAAATTAGTTTTTGTTTCCTTTGTTGATTATATTTAGTGAGAAACAATTGATTTCTCTATCTTATGATACATGGTATTAATTCATTTTCTTATTAATTTGTCTTTTGATCACTTATCAATATACTGTGCGAATTTTTCGTTTGGACTAACTAGTATTCATTTATAATTTTTTATTATTTCTATCATCCTTATATCACGGAAATCAAAATTTTGATGATTTTCATTTTTGATCTGTTATCTACTTGTGAACTTGAATAGGACACAAATGGTTGGTGCGAAACACGCAATTTTTAATCGATCATTGATTGACCTCCAAAATGTAAACAATAGAATAGTCCACCATCACTTTTAATTTAAAATTTTCAAGGTCCCTTGGATCCAAGAAATATTGTTCAGTCATTATTATGCATTATAATTCTAAATACCACCACCCCCTTCTAATAACTGAATCAATTTCAATAAATCAAATTTAATCATGAGTGATTTTTGAAATTTTAGGTAAGAAGGTCAACTCCATAATTTTTGGGTTAATCCTTCCCCAAATATTTTACATATAGTTATAGCTTTTTCTCCTATGCTCTCACAAAATCAGGTTAAATAATTTTTCAAGATCAGATTCAATGAGGCAAATTCATTGTGCTGTTACATAGTTTTCTACAAATCTTTACCTCGATCCTAAAATGTTGGCTTTCTTCTAAAACTTTTAAATTGAATTGAAGAAAAATATTGAGGAGAACTATTGGTCCCATTCAAGAAACACCTGGAGAAGAAGAAAGATTATGGAATTTTAAGCTTTGTATAATGATACTATCAAGTTTATTACGCTCGGAAGACTTTGATGAGCAGACCATTAAGATGGAGGATGACGATATGACTACTATTTAGACCGATGAGCTCCACAGCAAGCGGAGTTAATCAGCTTAATATGAGATAGGCGGACTGCGTAGCTGTGGATGCATGGGTCCTTATTGGCACCTGAAACTGGAGAGCAGCTGCAACAGAACGAGCTAAATGGCAAAGGCTTTTAGAGGAAACCCAGACTCGGTGAAAGACCACTATGGTGATGATGAATCTCTTTCATGAACTTAGCAGAGGATCATTTTTTATAATTACAAGATAAAATATGTAGATTTAGAATACTTGTAGGTAAGTAGTTTTTAATAAATGATCATGAAAATTTTTATTAATTACAGGTGCTAATTTGTGTATTAAAAGAAATTGTACTAAGTATACCTTGTAACCAGTGAAAGGGTGTTTTACAAATTTAAAAATCTACTAATGTTTAATCATAGCCAAAACCTTATCTTATCTCTCAATTAATGATATCTCTAAATATTAATTTGTTTTATTGAGGGATTGCCATAGAATTTAGATCAGTGATGAGCACACAGCAGCCATCAACTCTTAATTGTGCGGCCCTTCAAATTTTCTACCTTTTGACTTTTCAATAATATAATCAGCACCAACAGAAAATAATAATGGAATTAGAAATGTGATTTAAATTACAAAAATAGTACATATTTTTGATATTTTTCTTGTCTAACTATTAGTCATATCGTCATCCTCCATCTTAATGGTTTGCCCATCAAAGTCTTCCAAGCTTAGTAAACTTGATAATATCATTATACAAAGCTTAAAATTCCATAATATTTCTTCTTCTCCAGATGTTTCTTGAACGGGACCAATAATTCTCCTCAGTATTTTTCTTCAATTCAATTTAAAAGTTTTAGAAGAAAGCCAACATTTTAGGGCTGAGGTAAAGATTTGTAGAAAACTATGTACCAGCACAATGAATTTTCCTCATTGAATCTGATCTTGAAAAATTATTTAAACTGATTTTGTGAGAAAAAAACTATAAATATATGTGAAATATTTGGAGAAGGATTCACCCAAAAATTATAGAGTTGGCCTTGTTACCTAAAATATAATTAAAATGAGTTTGATAATGGGAAATCTTCAGGTATTAGTCAGTCAATATG